AAAAAAAAAAAATACACTGTAGGATATAATCACATCTGTCTCTCTAATAACATCTGTCTTAATTATTTGCATCACCGATTCCCCTGGAATGGGAGGAAAAGGTGTGGCACAAAGTTGGCGTGACAGGAATTGCACACAACCCACAAACGGTCTTACCTCACTGGCAGAAGTAATGCATCTCGCACGTGAGCATTATCCCTCAAGCGTGGGGCGGTGGAAAAAAAAGCGGGGGCGCTGCGAACTGCTTGCGACAGATGGTAACGTAGCCGGCAGAGCCAAGAATTGAATTCAGGGAGGGGATGTTGAACGGAGCAACAGTTAAAAGTCCTTCCAGCTCTAAAAACTCGGTGATTCTAAGAAAACACCCAGGCTTCCATTTGTTCTTTTGGTTTGGAAAGTGAAAGTTCCATATGAGAGGGAGGATGAGTCACTGCATAAATTATTCAGGGACTGAAGTCCTTTGGGGAATTGCTCTCTGGTCTTCGAGGCAGGGATCTTCCCCCCGTATCCCAAGTCTGGGTCAAGGTTGCATTTTGATCTCTCGGATGCAGAGAAAGCCCACATAAAAATAAATAGGCTTCCTCCATCTCGTATCTTCATGATTATCAAAAGCGTCACCTCGTACGTAGCTTGCAATACATTAATTTCCTTTAAGCCCAGAATTGTTGTTGCTAGCGGGAGGCAGTCAGGTATCAGCTTTCCCATGTTCCAGGTGGCGACCTTAGATAAATTGCTTTCTGCTCAGTGCCAGCCTCATCATAAGTAAAATGAGGACAATGATGTCTACCTCAGAGGGTTATTATAAGGACATAATACATGTCGGTTACTTAGATTAACACCTGGCAAGTACAAAGGTTAGTATTCAGGCTATGTTAGGTATTACAGAATTCCTGCCTTCTAGGAGCTGGGAGAAAGATCCATTTACATGGACACACTTTAACAACACATGCAGCCAACAAAAGAAGAACATAAAACAAAATGAAAAATGGACAGCAGGTATTTTCTTACCTCTCTTTTAGAGGTTCTACCTGTTTGTAAAGTGAAGAACCAACTTTTTAGCTCAGCATCAAAGTCCTTCATGATTTGATGCCAACATTTCTACACATACAACACATTCTTCTCATTAAGTCAACAACTTACACTTGAACCAAACCAGACCACTAACTGTGGTCCCCATTGGTTCTATATCTTCCTGTCTCTGAAAACTTCCTCTTAATATTTACTCAACCCAGGGGCACCTGGGTAGCTGAGTCGGTTAAGCGTCTGCCTTCGGCTCAGGTCATGGTCCCAGGGTCCTGGGGTCAAGCCCCGCATTGGGCTCCCTGCTCAGCAGGGAGCCTGCTTCTCCTTCTCCCTCTGCCTGCAGCTCCCCCTGCTTGTGCTCGCTCGCTCTCTCTGTCAAATAAATGAATAAAAGCTTAAAAAAAATATTTACTCAACTTTTTATTCACCTTTGCTGGTCAGTATCTTCCCATCCTTCATCATCCAGGCTAAATACTTTCTCCATGAAAACTTTCTTTAAAACCTCCACAGACAGAATGTGTCTATCCCTCTCTGTGGTGTCTTAATGCTTTATGGCTCCATTACCATATTGGCTTAGAATTATTTTGGGATGCCCACCAGATTTTAAGTGTCTGAAAAGACAGAAATTGCTCCTTATTCATCTTTATATCCCACTCTCTGACCCAAACCCACCATTATCACCTTTGCAATATGTACCATGTAGGCCATGGTACCTTATATAATGTAGGCATTTGATGAAAGTGGACAGGCTATGTGAATCTCTGGGATGTAGGAAAGCATATAAACAGAATGGAGATTGGGAAGAATTCCTAACTAGTCCAAGTGGGGCAAGAAGAAGGAGATGGCTATAACTCAGGGGCTGGGAGCACTTATTAAATTTAGATGCTTAATGTCTGAGAACAAATTCTTGCATCCACTTAGTACTGTTTTTTCAGGTGCTGGCCACACCCATCCTCACTTCCAAAAGAACTGCCCCCCCACCTCACAGTCTCTGATGAAATGGTTGGTGAGTCAATTGTGTCTGTTCTACCATAGTCCATCCTCCAGCCTGTGCTGATTGGATCAAGGCAGCCAATTCACAGAAAGCCTATTTACCAGGGCGCCTGGGTGGCTCAGT